AAATACATCTTTCTTCCCTAAAGTTGTTTTGCTGAGATATTTGCTCACGGTGATGAAAAAAACTACCCAAGATTGGGAGCAATAGGTTGGCACAGGCAGCTAAGGTAATTGCTAGTTATTATAACTGGGCTATGGTGGTGGCAGTGTGGTAACTTCTCCCTCTTTTTCTAAGAGGAGCTTCGGCTAGTTGAGTTGAAATACTTGTGAGTTCCAGAGTTTAGATTCTTCAGACACTGGTGAAGGCTCTAACCTCATCCTAGCGAGTTTTCTAAACAACTCACTCCTGTCTGCTGCTGTCCTCCCAGCTTCTATGTTCATCTAGAAGAACTTTACTTGAGTTCCTATATGATGTCATCTTCAAATCAGCTGTATTCCAAGGGACGAGTAATATGACATGTGCAGAAACTACCAAATCACATTGAGTGTGGACTAGTTAGTGCATACCAAAAGCAGGGCAGGATACTTTTCATGAAAATTAGCGTATTTTGGAATTCTGAATAAATGATATCAGCAGTGACATAGGGTTGAATCTTTTTTAATCCCCCCATCAAAACAGAATGAACACTAGGATAGCCATACCAATAAAACCTGGTGGGAACTTTGACAACAAACTCTGTGTCAAGGTACTCTCATAAACTCCAAAATAGAATCTGGCGTGGTCATAACCCATATGATTCTATAATCTCTGCCAAAGGAATGGGTGAAGCAATGAGAAGTCTAGCAGAAATGAAATAACACCCAAGTTTCCAGTAGTTGCTCATGAGAAATTATTCCAGCTAATTTAACAATAGTAGTTGAAACTGGGAAAGTTATTTTGCAGGCAGGTGAAAAATCCCTTTAACTTCTGCAGGGTCTAAATACCCTGGAACTTGTGAATTCTTGGCCCTCCCTAGTTGAAGCTCCTTTTTTAGAAGAAATGTCAAAGAATAAAGCCCATTGAGAGTAAAGGGACAAAAAGGGCAAAGGAAATGAAAAGTTTGGAGATAAAGCAGAGAAGTAAATAGAGCCAGGAGATCTCAAAAAAGGGTTTTTTTTTTTTTACATTTCATAAAAGTACAGAAAAGGCAATTCTATAAATGTAAAGCTAGAAATGGTCCCCTGATCAAATATCCTCACTTAAAATATTAGAAAAACTGGTTTTATGCAAAAGAGCAAAAGAAAATAAGAAAAATAATAATGCAAAAGAATGAATTTTAAGATTATAGGTAGTATGAGTAGAATACCTATACAAATAATGCTACCACACCATAAGTTTATGCTTATAAAATAGAGGAAAAATGTAACCTAATTACTCAACAGAAGCTAAAATAAATAGTGTAAATAATAGAAAGTACAATACTAATCAAATTTAGAAAAACTCTAGTTTTTCTAGAAATTACCTAATACAAAAAGCGCTGATGAAGTGGCTCAAGGTGTAGGTCCTGAGTTTAAGCCCCAGTACTGAAAAAAAAAAATTATCTATTCAATAGTGACATACAAGCCAGGTGCCAATTGCTCCTACCTGTAATCCAAGCTACTTGGAAGGCTGAGATCAAGAGAATCATGGTTCCAGACAAAACCAGGCAAAAAAGTTTGCAAGACCCCATCTCAGTAGAAAAAAGATGGTATGGTGTCATGTGTTATGGCGAGAAGCATAAAATAGAAGGGTTATGATCCAGGCTGGCTTGGGCAAAAAGTGAGACCATATCCCCAAAATAGCAGAGCAAAAATGGGCTGGAAATGTGGCTCAGATTAAGCTGTAGAGCACTTGCCTAAGTATATTTGATGCATTGTAAAACCTTTGTAAGTGCTACAATGTACTCCCAAGTAGTGCAATAATAAAAAATAAATAAATAAATAAAATTTAAAAATGTTTCCTAAATAGGAAAATCAAAGTAATGAGATAAAATGGTTATTAATAAGTATAATTCAAGGAAACTTCCCTGAAAATACAATTGAACATAGATTAAGGAAAGGAAAAGTAATCATTAATAAACAATATCAAGATATATTGTGGTAAAAACTATTAGACTTTGAGGAAACATCGTTTTGGCATTCAGGTACATACATACCTATATATAAAATAAAAGGAACAAAAACAGATTAGCATCAGACTTTTCAACACAGCTCTTTATGCTGGAAGTAAATTCAGTAACATTTTCAAGATACTAAGAGAAATATATTGTGAGCAAGGGCTTCAGATCTGCCAAACTGATTTTTAGGTGGAAAAGCCACACAGACAGGTATTAATATAGCAGAACTCAGAATATTTTTCTCAGTAAATGGAAATATTATTTGCCTATGTGCTTGGGGCTAAACTCTGAATATTTTTTGAGCTTTTTTTCTCTCTTAGCTCATAAATCCCAAATTTGACCTCTTTACCCCATTGTTATCCTCTCTTCCAAGCAGCTATCTTTGTCTGGCTAGCATGACTGCAGTAGGCACCCTACTGATTTCTCTGTTTTCATGTTTTGTTAGCCTCCAATCTGCTCTGCATATCAGCCAGAACAAGCTATTACTGTACCGTGCTTATGCTCAAAAGATTATAATTCTTTATTTTATTTAGTCTTAGATACCTCTCCAGCCTGCCCCTTTCTCACTGCTTCCTGGCCACATTGCTAGCCTATTATTTCAGTATTTTCTGAGGAGCTCTCCTGCCTGAAATGCTCTTCCACGCATGGAAATATGGGTACTCTCTCACTTAGCATGTCCTACGTGTCTTGTCCTTAGAGTGCCCTTTTCTGGCCCCTTCTCGATAGTACTGCTTCATTATTTTCTCTATCCTCTCTGTGCTTTATATTTTTATAAGACTTCCTGGTCTTCTGACATATTACAAATCTCTTTATTTATTGCATTATTTCCTTCTAAAATGTGAACTCCACAGTGGAAACAGGAAAATTTTATTTATTTTATTCTAGCCCCAAATAATGCTTAAAATGAAATATACAGACTCTAAATTATATTTCTTGATTGAATTAATGAATTCATAGATACAAATCTGTCCATTATGTAGACATAAAAAATTTGTCAATAACAGGTTTTTACTGAGAACAAAATATTTTGGCAACATTCTTAAATTCTATATGTGATATCTCAAAGAACAGAATACTGTGCATCTATCAAATGTCCCTTTAAAATGTTATCATCAGAGTATGTATTAGAATGAATATACTTTGAGATTTCTGTTATCCAGTAAAGATGCAAAACCTTATGATCAACTCATCATACAACCCCTTCAATTATTAACTAGTAGCTTCCATTTAGCTAACAGAGTCTGCTTTTATGAAAAGTTTAGAAGTCTGATATAAAAGACTTTAAAATAATTCAACTGGTATGTTATGTCATTTAATTACTCTGGGTACAGCATACACAGACTGTTTACTACACAATCTATTGATTATTACCCTCTTTTATATTAACTGGCTGCCAGTTCTGAGAACTCTATGCCTATAGACTCTGTTCCCAGCAATGCCTAAACCAACCTAAATTAGGCTGAGAATATATTTCATCCCTATACCATGAGCACAGGTTTTGCTTTTGAAAGACTAAATACTTTCCTTGTTAGATTTATTATGCTTTTTGTCCTTTTTAATCAGTTGCTGCCCGTATTTCTTTAGGAAAGCACTTATAATTCTGCTCTAAATTTCAGCCTGGTAAAACAGGGCTTGGCCACTCTGTACAACTCTCTCCAACAAGGCTTGGGCTCTGATTCAAGTGTTGAGATTGCTCTCCACTACGCTCATTTTCTCACTGGAGCCTGAGAATCTACCATTTTTCCCAATGCCAGCAACCAGTACCTGGGCATGAGGTTCTAGATCAGAGAAATGGTGAATTATATAAACCTCATCTGTCCTCTACAAGTTCATGTAACATATTTCTAATCTTACTCATTTACCAATGTGAAGAAATATGTACTCAAAGCACAGATAGCTAAATAGAAAGGTTCAAGTAATTTTACTGGGAGAACAGTAAAATATGCATGCCCTAATGTGGACTAGAGATGCCAAATTCTCAGAAGCAGAGTGGATAAATATAAATATTTGCTTGGAATTGAGAATAAGGGAGAAGATCCAAACCATCCCACTTAACAAAATGATTCCTTCTTCTCTTCCTTCTTTTATATCAATTTGTGTTTGATTTAGTAATTTCAGCATTGTTAAGTTCAATGAAGACTTTTTAAATTATATGTGGAGCTGATGGAATGGATCAAGCTGAGACTGCCTTCCTATTTAAGTACAAGACCCAGACTTCACCCCCAATACTGCTCCCTGAAAAAATAAATGAATATTTGGCTCAAATATGTGTTAACTTTATGTTAATTATGGGACTAATGCAATGTTTGATTATAAAGCAATAACCTTGTGTCTGCCTTTGACAATTTAATCTTGCTTTTGGGAAATTTGTAACGTATAATTCCACTTAACTTTGTAACAGCTTTTTGTAGGGTTAAGCACTTTCTATTAAATTTAGCATTAGGAATGAGAGAAGATACATGAACAAGTATTACTCACAGAAATAAACAATGTAATTAATCTTTGTTAATACACAGAATAAAATATGTAGCAATGAAACAATAAAAAAAATAAAAATTTGTGTATTTTACCAATTTGCTTTTATTACCTTGTCTATTTATTGTATTATACGAGTTTAAGAATGGGCTGGGTATTTGGGTGAAAGTTGAAAACTGCCTTCATTTTTAGATTACTTTGAGTAAAATTCATAGTACACAGATATTTCCTTCTTCTCTGATATATCTAACAAACAAGGAATGCCTCTTACTTAGATGCTAATTCCAAAACCAATGATGTTCAAATTTACATATTTTAGAACCTTACTCTGGACTAAGAATGGACATAGAAAAAAAAACGCTAATGTTTAAAGCAACATATTCTTGAAAGAATTTCCTTATACTCTTGAATCATTTAGTTAACAATCTACAATTTAGTTATACCAGAAAGATTTTATGACTTAAATTGCTATTTGACTTGTTTTACACTCCCTCTTTTGTGTGTTCCCTTTAGATAAGAAATGTTGAAACAAATCAATGTTTAGACAACATGGGCCGCAAGGAAAATGAAAAAGTGGGTATTTTCAACTGTCATGGCATGGGAGGAAATCAGGTAAACTCTTTTTTTATACCAGCTTCTTATTTTCGTGTGGAGGAATATTGTTAAAACTATCTATGTAGTCCATAGCTTATATATTCATAACAATAAATTCTTAATTTAGTAACTGAATGTGCATTCAAGTCAAAACTTATGTGGCTATTTTATTGTCCAAGTATCATCAGAGAGCACTGCAAAATTAAGTAAAAAGGACAATTTCAAAGAGCCTTAGTTAACAAGGAGAGTCAAATACACTAGAGCAAATCTCATTTTACCTTGATGAACAAATAAAGAGTATATTTTACTCTGTTTTTAACTGAACAAAATAAAAGAATCCTTCAGCAACTGGACTGATTTCCCAATGATGATTATTCTGTATTTCTTTTGCAAATTTTATGTATAACAGAATTTCTAGAAGTTTTTGAATTTCAATAAAACTTTAAAGTGCATGAGTCAGCACTGAAAGCTCACTACAAATCTTAGGACAATGTTTCTTGCGACAGTATAATTAATTATCTGAAACTCTTGAGAACATTAAAAGGATCTGTGGGCCTTATACACTGAAAAGTGACTCTGTGTGGGCCACGCAGAGGCTGCTTGTCTGTAGAGGCTGCTTGTCTGTGAGTCACTGGACATGAGCAACCCTGCTGCGGTGGCCACTTTGATAGGAATTTGGAATATCTGGGAACTAAAGCAACAAAGCAGAGTTTGAGGAAACTCATCTCCTGTAGACAAAGTGTCTACAAAAGTTTATAGAAACTACAGCAATGAGTTCTTGGTAAATGGCAAAATTTCAGGGTAGAGTGAACTGAGATTGCAAAAGTTATCCTACCCAGCAAATCTCAACACTCTGTATGGGAATCCAAGTTGATTTTCATGCTGTAGAACAAGAAAAAATGATGAGCCCTGTTAAGTTTTGACACTATATGTAACACAGGACCTGTCTGATTCAATGAAGAACATTAAAAGGAATTTCTCCTTTAAAATAAAACTTAAAATATAATTATTAAAGTCCTAATTAATGTTCTAAAGTTTCAATTCAAGCAAGAAAATACTTAAAACCAAATTTCTAATTTGTACCATTTAGAGAAATGTCTTTATGGGAGAAAATGAAACAACAATGTAGGTAGAACGATGACAAAGTGTTTAAAAAAAGAGTCAATCTTTTTTATTATTTGATTCATGATGAAGGTAATAGTCCTCTACTCCCAAACCAAGGATTCTCCAATTTTTAGAATTAACTTTTCACATCAGCTGGTCAGAAAAGTGTTGCTGAACCTCCAAATACACATTCAAGGCAGGAAGAAACTGGGAAGGAAAAGAACTGTAATAGCTATGCCTGGTGTTTAATTAGGAAAAAGCAAGTCTTCCTATAGGCTAAATATCCTTCACATGTCTTTTGTTACTTGGACAGTCCTAAGTGCAAATAAAGACTGAATATTTTGCTTCTCACTCATACTGGGGTATTCCTCACAGTTCACTTATCAGGGATATTGGGTAGATATTTAGAAGTGACCTCCATAACCTCTCAACTAGATGTGGCAAAAAAAAAAAAAAAAAAACCCAATCACCTGTACCATGATGAAATACAGAATCCAAAAGAAGCATTACGGAATTTTATGCAGCCATGAAGAAGAACGAAATGTTACCATTCGCTGGTGAATGGATGGAATTGGAGAACATCATTCTGAGTGAGGTTAGCCTGGCCCAAAAGACCAAAAATCGTATGTTCTCCCTCATATGCGGACATTAGATCAAGGGCAAACACAAGGGAATTGGACTTTGATCACATGATAAAGCCAGAGCACACAAGGGAAGTATAAGGATAGGTAAGACACCTAAAAAATTAGTTAGCATTTGCTGCCCTCAACGCAGAGAAACTAAAGCAGATACCTTAAAAGCAACTGAGGCCAATAGGAGAAGGGGACCAGGAACTAGAGAAAAGGTTAGATCAAGAAGAATTAACCTAGAAGGTAACACACATGCACAGGAAATCAGTGTGAGTCAGCTCCCTGTATAGCTATCCTTATCTCAACCAGCAAAAACCCTTGTTCCTTCCTATTATGGCTTATACTCCCTCTTCAACAAAATTAGAGATAAGGGCAAAATAGTTTCTGCTGGGTATTGAGGGGGTGGGGGGGTGGAGGGGGCGGGGTGGGTGGTAAGGGAGGGGGTGGGAGCAGGGAGGAGAAATGACCCAAGCATTGTATACACATATGAATAAAAAAAAATCTTATTGGTCTTTAAATTAGATTTGCATTGAGCTTCCAACGCAGTCTTCATTGGGCACCTGGAAAAAAAAAAAGAAGCATTACTAATGAATGACCTCACTCTAATTACAATGCAGATTAAAATGAGAGAAGGTACCCACCCCCATTAATTATCCACACAGATTCATTACTGTTGCAAGGTTAGCCTTAAGTCTTGGATTCATATTGGCCTAAATGATGTCATACACCTATATCATAAATGTTAACAGTTGCATTATTCGTCTACATCCTATTTTCTGTCAACTCCTTTTTGACAAGGGGCCATATTTTAGCCTGTCTTCATCCCTAACACTTGGCACCATGCAAACACCAATAGTAGAGTTTCATAAAGAACATGACAAAATAACCAATAAATAAAAACTCATTCATACATGTATTCTACAATCTCCACTTACTGACAAGATAGAAATTAAAACCAATATTTTTCTGTCTACATCAATCCTCATTAATGTGTACAAATATATATGTATGAGATTTTATGGAGCCTTTTTTGCTATAATGCAAGCAGTAGAAACAACTAAATGTTTATTAAACCAGGCATGGTGGCTCACAACTATGATCCCAGCTACTCGAGAAGTAGAGGTAAAGGATTAAAGGTCATGCCAGCCTGGGTGAAAGTCAGTGAGATCCTATCTCAAAAAAAACCATAAAAAAAAGCCAGCTACAGTGATGCATGCCTATGGTTCTGGCTACTTTGAGAGGCAAGAGTAGGATTGTGGTCTAAAGCTGGCCTGGACAGAAGAAGGAGAACCCACTCGAAAAACAAACTAAAAGTATGGGGTCATGGTTCAAATGGTTAGAACACTTGCCCACCCCAGTACCAGATCTATCTCTCTATTGCTGTATCTCTCTATCTCTGTATCTCTGTATCTCTCCCTCTCTCTATCTCTGTATCTCTCCATCTTTCATCTATCTAATCTTTCTCATTAGTTACCTATAAATACAATTTATAAGTATAAACACAATATTTGTAAACACAAATACTTATCAATTATAGTACTTATAAGCATAAATATCTTTATTAATATTTTATTCATAGATGTATTCGTCAACAGGGAATGGTTAAACAAATCTTGGTGAACAGAGTATCAAATACTGTATAGTCACTAAAGTACCTGAAGGAGGTCCATCTGTAATGTCATAGAAAATTCACAAGAGGGAAAAGAAATCCAGAGTACTGTAGCTTACTTTCAATGATCTCTTTTATGAAAAATATTGTGAGGATTTTATACATGTGATGTTTATTCCTTCCTATTTATATGAAAGCTCTATAATCTGTTAGAAGAGGATAGCAATCTATCTGACATATAGCTCACTTCTAAACAGAGGAAGAAGATGAGAATTGAATTGGAACAGGAATTTTCACTTTTTACCTCACATTTTCTGTATGTATGTATTACTTTCATAATTAAAAATAATAGGATTTTAGACAGTTAAGAATAAAAGAATATCATTTTGTAGGATCACTCTGGATTGATTAAACAACTTATGGATAAGGTAATTCATATTTTCAACCTTTCATATTTGATTGTCTATAAAACAGAAAAAGATTTACCTCAAAATTTTCTCTAAAGAATAAGGAAATTTATAAAACAACTAATAATAAGCATGGCACATACTAAACATTAAGTACATTGACATTAATTATTCTCTTTTCTCATTATTTCTACTTATAGTTTCAGTTATTTTTTTTTAACTTCTAGAGGTTAAAAAAAACCTCCTCCAGTGGCTAAAGACAAAGGTAAGATAAGAATGTAATACTTCCTTTTGTAATGTTTAGCTTAAAACGTGAAAATAGTTATTCTAACAGACACATGTTAAACCATCACATCAAACTCTATTATTGTGATTTCTTCTTGATAGAATTCAGTATTTCTCAGATAATTAATACACAGGGACATGTTTATATTTCTGTCTTGCTTGCTTGCTCTAAAAAGGACAGATTTTAAGATTTTATTCTCAGAGTTACCCATTCTTTTTTATTGCTATACTTTTATGTTGCCATGGAAGCAGAATCTATTTTAATGGTTATCTAGTTTTGAATTTTTATAAGTAGCCCCCAGCCTAAAGAAATATTGAAATTCTCCCTTCTGCTTTTACACAACATTCATAAAAATGCTAACATCATTTTTAACTCAATTTTATTTCTAAAGGATAACACTTCATGTTTGTTGAACAAGTATATGTTAACCATTTCTCCTTGTTCAGGAGTTTGTTCTTATGTCCTTGGAAGCATGAGAAAAACCTCACTTTTCAGTAGATTTAGAAAATATTTTCCTTAAACACTTAAATATCCAGCAAAATGTGAAATTGAGTCAATGGAAGTTTTTGCAGCAGAAATACCAGAAAGATAAGTTAATAAGAGGAGAATTGCCATGGAATTTGACACTTAATCGTTTTTTTCAGTGCTCTTTTTGAAACCTTATAAATAAAAATTATCTACTTCAAAGCATAATAGCAAAATTAGACTCTCCATTCCTATGTTTTAATTTTTTTGGTACTACTTTTGGGGTTGAGCTCACAGCCTTGCACTTGCTAAGCAAGTGCTCTACCATGTAAGCCATGCCCCAGGCCTTTTTCCTTTAGTTACTTTTTTTTTAAGTGGAGTCTTACATGTATGCTAGGGCTGGTATGGTCTGAGCTCCTCCTATGTACACTTCCCTCTTGGCTGAGATGATGCCCAGACTTTATTGGTTGAGATAGGGGTCTCACTAACTTGTTTCCTGGGTTGGCCTCCAACCATGA